CAACTAAACAATGGCCTTGGTCCAGAAAGAATTTCATGTATGGCTGAAGATGAGGCTCAGTAGTAGAGTACTTGTCTAAAATGTGTGAGGCCTGTCATTCAATCCCCAGTGCAGCAAAGGAAAGCAAAAAAAAAAAAAAAAAAAGGAAAAAAATCCCAGGAGAATTTGAGATAATTAAACATGTTCTGTAACATGAGTCCTATTTTTTTGGCACTATGAGTCTGATATTCAGTTATTTTTTCAAAAAAAAATCTCCTTTCCGTCTTCCATGAATTTAATTTTCCTTCTGATTGCAATCATTCTTGAGGAAATGAGCTTAAAATAAGCAAACCTTTTGTATAAACAAATCAGGTACTGCCCTTCCTTCAGGGAATGGCTACTAAGAATACCTCTTCTATGGGCTCTACTCCTTACAAGTGCTGCAGAGAGCCCTTGATCTGAAAAGATAATGGGATTATATTATATACAAGGCACCTTAGAAATCCACTCACCTATTCTCACAAATGTGCAAATTGTGTCTCAGGGAGTTTGAAAAATTTGCCTGTGGCCTCTGAAATATTTAGCAATATGTTTGGAATTCAGTTTAAAAAGTCACCAAGCAAGTTTTAAAACATCATTAAAGAAGGAAATCAATAGCACAAAATAATGAATGATTTGATTATTCTGGCCAGTGGGAGCCCAGAATACTTAACAGCTTACTGAAGGGACTGGGACAGAGAAAGCTTTGATTTATGTAGTGTTTGCCAATTTTATGGTGCCCACACCAGTTCCATTGAACGAAGACCTGGGGAGAAATGAGCACAATCCAGCTGGCTCTCAAGAGATATAGGGATCATCTTGTTGGAATGAGCAGGTCTTAAGGAAAAGGAAACTAAACTAGTTCAGCAAATAAAGAACTCTTCACCTAAGCAGTGACCCTTTGTGCTTCAGGGCCCAGCTTAAAGAGGAGGGTCTCTGTGAGGCTTTTTTCTCAGTCTTTTGGAAGTGATCACTTTTACTGTAAATACCAGAATACTTAGTTTTACTTTATGTGAGAGTAATTAGCAAAGATGTTATTGACAAAAGATGGACTCTTTCCCCTCAAGATTGTCCTTGAAGGATGCAACCACGCCTTGCTCCTTAACTATCAGCTGAGCAGGCAGCCTGGTGGGTAGAACACAAGCTGTAGAGTCAGACTTCCAAGCTTCAGATCTTGACATTACACTTAACACTCACTTATCTTGAGATCTTGGGAAAGTTATCAGACCCCTCTGTAGAATGAAACATTAATTGGGAATCTATCTTACAGGTTTGCTGTGACAATTAAAGAGATTACTGAACAAGTTCAGTTAACACTCACTTAATAAATGTCACCTCATATTGTGAGCTCTAACATCCAACCTAGTGCCTGGCACAACACCGCTGTACAAGTGTTGTTGGTTGAACTGAATTGACATGGAGCAAAACTATGATCAGTTAACATGGTAGGAAACTGGCAAAGAGTGTGCTGCAGAAAAACTGCATGAACAAATTATTGAGGAAATGAGAATGGCATATTTAATAAAAAAATCAGTAGATTGTGGAATTATGGGATCAGAACATAGTTTTCCTGCTGTGGAATGATGCATGGAGCAGGGTGGAATCATCATGGCCTCCCTTCACCCCATGTGCTAGACGCTATAAGTCTATAAATACAACATTTGTCACTGCAATAGCTTTTATAGACTGCTGTTGATTGAAATATCTCCTTTTCAGGGCAATGCAGTTGCTCTTTGAACAATCTGATTGCTAGACTCTAAACATAAATACTGTTAAATTTCACTCCATTTGGTTCAGTCCACTATTTGAATTAATTTATTTCTTCCACACTCAACTCTGTAATGCATTATATCTTCTATCCCATCTAGTTTTGCATTGTCTGTGATCTTGTGAGCATGACTTTTATTCTGTTTTCTAAAACATTACATAGTTCACTTCAAAGAGCTGGATCCTCTGATACGTCACTAAACACTTCTTTCCAGTTGGCACTGGTTCATTAAATAATTTTTGTTTTCTTTTTAGATATAGATTTAACTCTTTTCTGATCTATCCAAAGAAGCAGCAATCTGTGTTATAGTTCATCTTGTTCACAAGAAAGTTTGCCAAAATGTTATGTCTGCAACATCTTTTCCCCCACAGATGGAGTAAGCCTGTCAGAAAAGAAGCTGCAGCTAGTTTCTTGCAATTTGTTCTTGATTACCCAATGTTAATTACTATACCGACAACTTCTTTTTCTGAGTTGAACCAGGGTTTCATAATTCAAAAGAGTGAATTTAACCACATCGGGGTAGGCAAAGGAGAGAGCACAGACCCTGATAATCTAGCTGAGCTATTTGGGCACAATCCTGAGGGCAGTGAGAGGTTACTGATATTTTTAAGCAGAGATTTTGTGACAAAGTTTTATTGTAAGAAAACCACCTGGCAGCGATGTCCATGGCAAGCTCTGCAGAGAACCTTGTGTGAGGTTGGAAGCTTCCTGAAATAATATTCCACAGGGGGCTGCTGAACTACTCTGGGATATGTTAGTAGTAATGAAGGCAGAAGAAAATACCTTAGAATTTAAAGGGGAAAAATCAAAAAGTACTACTGAGGGAAACTGATAGGAGTGAAAAACAAACAAAAAGTATATTAGGGCTTCGCACCCCTTTCCACGTTACTGATCACGCAGGATATAATATTGGCCATGGTGGTAAATACGGCTGCTTGGGGATGGAGTTGACTCAACGGCCCCCAGCAGTGGGTCTCTCTGCCCCAAGGTTCTACCTGTCCTAGCCACTGGTGGAGGATATTTCTTTTTTTTTTTTTTTTTTTTTTTTTTTTTCCGGT